AACTATACAATTTCCGTTACTGTGATATTAATTGAAAATATAATTTGTATTTAAAAAAGAATTGTGTGTGTAGAAGGTCCAATAGATTTATTTCACCAGTTCAACATTTTTCTTTCTATTTATTTACGGTTGGGGGTTTACACATTAATTGTTGGGACAATGTTCTTTTTTCGCTTACATTTAAATGTAGTAGATCTCATTTTTAATTTATATTTGTTTTTCTTGGAATCAGACAAAACCACAACATTTTGTATTGTGATTTTGTGATAAAGTCATTTATGTAGCTGGGAGAATCAGTTTTCAAAGCAATGTAAGTATAAATTATAGCAAAGCAGAACATGAATGTCATAGCAATGAAAATGATCATTACTGTCCATATCAGTAGTAAAGAAGACACCAGTAGAAATGACTCATTTACTGTTCTTATCAGTTGTAAAGACATTCCAAAATGTATGGTCATATCATTCTCACTCCTGAACATGGATACATACTTTAAAGGAGGGTGTTGCCCTGAAATATATTCCTAATATAAACTTTTTATAGTTTGTTAGCACAAGTTCTCTAATGTTCAAATAATGTTTTGAAAAAAATAAGAAGTTCCATGCAAAATGAAATACTAACTGGCACACACAATGCCAGGAAGGCTCTTCAAGATGCCTGGGAATAAATGTATATGAACTCTTTATTTTTTGGAGTAGAGCATATTCATACATTCATGTTTTTTCTGCCACATTAAAGTTCCTTTAAAATTCATTGTTTTAAACAGATTAAAGACATGCATACATGAATTTGTGCCCCACAATTAACAGTATCCTGCGCCACTGCTGGGATTTTTATATATTAATAAATCTGGTAGTCTAAAATCTGGTAGTCGATGCCGTGTGGTTGCCGGCTTAAATTGCGCCAACGTATCCTCTGCGTGTCGTAAAGACGACTAAAAGGGTTGGTGTAAGGAAGGGCATCCTACCGTAAAACTTTGCTCCAACAAAATTCATGAACTTTGGAAAGAAGATGGCCCCAGTCCCGGCAGCCCTTCAGTGGGCAGGGGTGCGAAGAATCTCGGATCGAATGTTGGTGGAAGTGTCACCCTTCGGGTAGGCACAGTGAACGTTGGGACAATGAAGGGAAGGAGTGCAGAAGTGGCGGACATGTTGAAGAGAAGGAAAGTTGATGTGTGTGGGTTTCAGGAGGTAAGGTTTAAAGGTGAAGGTACGAGAGTCATAAAGGGTGAAGATAATGGAGCGAGATTTAAGTGGTTTTGGAAGGGAAACGGAAGTGGCACGAATGGTGTTGGCTTTGCGATAAGAGGATTGGGCGAAGTCGGTTGTAGCAGTGAAGAGTTTCGGACAGAGTCCTGAGAGTTGATGTAGTTATTGAGGCCGAAGTTGTGAGTTTCGTTGTGGTGTATGCTCCGCAGGTTGGACGAAGTGCGGAGGAGAAGGAAAAGTTCTACGACAGCGTGTATGCAGTGAGAGCAGACATTAGAGGGCGATGTGTGATGCTTGGTGATTGGAACGGTCATGTGGGAAGCGTAAGAAAAGGATACTGTGCGCATGGAGGTTTTGGAGTTGGTGATATGAATGCTGAAGGCGAGGCGATATTGGAGTTAGCAGCGAGTTGTGGGATGGTGGTAGTGAATACGTGGTTTATAAAGGAAGAAAGCAAGCTTGTGACGTATGAATCTGGTGACAGTAGGACGGTGGTGGATTATATACTGGTGAATGAAGAAGAGAGGAAAAATGTGAAGGATACAAAAGTGATTGCAGGAGAAGAATGTGTGATCCAGCACAAGCTGCTGGTCATGGACTGGAGAATCAGGAGGGTGAAGAGGAGAAAGGTTGAGGTTAAAGGCAGGCTTAAGCTATGGAAATTACGATCAAATGAAGGGAAGCAGTGTTTCCGTGACGAAATTACGACATTGAATGTTGAGGTGAGACGGTGGAGGAGCGATGGACGATGCTTGAAAAGGTGTTTAAAGGCAGCGGAGAAGGTATGTTGTAGAAATAAAGGCGGTGTAGTAGAAGAACAGGCATGGTGGTGGGATCAACGAGTCAGCGAAGTGATTGGCGCGAAAGTTGGCATTTAAAAGGTGGAGAAAGTCGCGGACTGAACAGATAGGATCGATTATCCGATTCAAAAGGCGCGAAAGGAGGTGGCTAAAGCGAAAGACATCAGAAAGCTTAAAAAATGCAGGAGAATGGACGAAAAGCGTTGTTTAGAACTGCTAGAAGAAGGAGAGGAACGATATTTTGGGTGCTCCGGCGTGCAGAACCGATGGGGAGTTGAAGGTGTTATTGGAAGACAGGTTAGAAGTGTGGAGGGCGTACTGTGACCGTTTGATGAATGTAGAGAATGAGTGGAATGGAGAGTTGAAGCGGATGAAGTTTTGGGCCGTGGGAAATAGTGACTGTTGATGAGGTGGCGGCGGCTCTGCGCAAGATGAAAGGAAAGGCGACAGGACCGAGTGAAGTGGGTAGCGAAATGTTGGACAATGAACTATGCGTGAGAGTTGTGTAATGTAGCGAACGAGGTTTTGAGGGGCTCAAAGATGCCGAGTACATGGAGAAAGAGTCTAGTGGTCCCGCTGTACAAAGGAAAAGGAGCAGCGACGGTATGTGGGAATTACAGGACTATTAAGCTGATGGAGCATGCGTTGAAGATAGTAGAGAGTGTTTGAAAGAAGGTTGAGGGAAGTTGTTCGGATGGGGGAAGAGCAGTATGGATTCATACCGGGGAGAGGAACGACGGATGCGTGTTTTGTGTTGAGGCAGCTGCAGGAGAAATTTTTGGAGAAGGACAGAGAATTGTATATGGTGTTTGTAGATTTGGAGAAGGCGTTTGATAGAGTTCCGAAAGGTGATCGAGTACGCGCTGCGTAAGAAAGGTGTGACAGAGAATATGGTTCGGGCAGTTATGGAGACTTATGAAGGTGTAGAGGCGGTGGTTACGGAGGAAGGTGTTAGATCTGGTGTTTTTGAGGTAAAAGTTGGTGTTCATCAAGGTTCAGTCTTGTCGCCGTTACTGTTTGCTTGTGTGATGGATGTACTGACAGAGGAAGTGAGAAGAAAAGGATGCTGGTGTTTGTTGTATGCAGATGACATTGTCTTGGTGGCGGAGTCGAAGCAGAAAGTCATGGAATGGTACCGAGAATGGAAAACGGCAATAGAAGTCAAGGGACTGAAAGTGAATGAGGCAAAGACGAAGGGCATGAGATGCTCGAGGCAGGTGGAGGTGAAGGACAGTGATAAATGGCCATGTGGTGTGTGTGGGAAAAGAGTTGGAGTGAATTCGATAATGTGTGGAAATGCAGTAAGTGGGTTCATGGAAGATGTTCAGGTGTCCGTGGTGCATTGACAAAGTAACTGATTTTGAGTGCGGGACGTGTCGAAGTGGTGGGCGAGTCGCGATTGAACGGTTTGAACTGGGTGACGTGAGTTTGGAAGGTGTATCGGAGTTTAAATATCTGGGCGATGTGTTAAATGATGGTGGAGGGTGCGAGCAAGCGGTGAGGAACAGAGTTCAAGCAGCGTGGTGGAGTTTTAGAGAGTTGTCGGGAATGTTGTGCGGAAAGTCGACTTCGTTGAAGCAGAAGGAGAATTGTATAAGGCATGTGTTAGAAGTGTTTTGGGATATGGAGCAGAGTGTTGGGCGCCGAAAGCAGAGGACCTGAGAAGATTGGCGTCGACGGAAAGGAGAATGCTTAGGATGATGTGTGGTGTAACGTTGATGGATAGGATTCGAAGTGAAGAGATTAGAAAGAGTTGGTGTTGAGTGTATCGAGAATTGGGTAAGACGCCAGCGTTTGAGGTGGTTTGGGCATGTGGAAAGGAGGGAAGAAAGTGCTGAAATTCGTAGAACGTTGCATATGAATGTTGATGGAGTCCGCAAACGAGGTAGACCGAGAAAGAGATGGATGGATGCTGTGAACAGTGATATGAAGGCGATGGGTATAACGAGAGATATGGCGAGAGATAGAGATGTGTGGCGTGGAAAAATTCATGGACCGGTCAACCCCCCTGGCGGGGATTAATACTGGCCGGTATATAAATGTTGTTTGTTTGTTTTGTTTGTAAAATCTGGTAGTCGGACAGTTAAAGTGGTTATATCACGAATTTTAGCCCCCCTTTTTTATTAGCTAAATTGAAAGACCTTATTTCAGTGATTTTAAATCTGCAATTATAATTGAAATTGGATTGGTGAAAGTGATTTTACGGACGTTCAAAGTCACGATTTTCAGCATTTTTTTTGCGAATTTTTTGATCGGTATGCTAATGAGTTGTGACGTAGATAGTTGAACACATATATCAACATGGCGTATTCTACTAGTAATCTTAATAAGAAACGCGGAGGAAAACGCTGTGTTGCTGGCGGACCTAATCAAATTAGTTGCGCCAATGATTCAAAACAGAAGGAATGTCGATGCATCTGTTTCCTAAAAAAGAAACAGAGCCGCAAAGACATAGAAAATGGGTAAATTTTGTGCGTAAACATAGACCGGGTTTTGAGGCTTCCTCTACCTCTTGTCGGTGTTCTGCGCATTTTGAAGATTCTTGTTTTGACCTTAATTTGAGCGTGCAAGTCAAGCTCAAAAGGTTGAAGAAACATGCTATCCCAACCATTGACGTGGCTGGGATTCCTGAACCATTACAGGACGAAATAACCGATCGAAAGCGCAGACAAGTAAGTTAACGCTTGTTTATGTTAATTTTTCTTTTGTCATATGTAAATTCGATATATGTTTTGTAGATTATTCGACATACTCTCAATAAGCCATCGCTGAAGGAAACATGTTCTCTCGATGAGGAAGTACCATCTACTAGTGATGGAGCTGAGCATGTTGAAGTATGCACTGGGGAAGCAAACGATTCGCCATTTGAAGAAGAACTACATGCAGTTGGTGAAGATATTTGTGAATCCCAGTCTCCATGTAAATCGTGCCATCGTCTTAAGAAAAAACTTACATCTTTACAAAAGACTTTAAGCTGGTATAAAAAGACAAAAGTATCTTTGAAGAAAAAGGCCCAGAAGTTGCAAAATGAATATCGACGCGAAATCAGGGAAAATCGTAATACATCCGTGGTTACCAGCATTGATATAGACGATGAAATGCAGGGGAGTGCTGAAGAACTTTTCGAAGAAGAATCATACATGGACTACTCCTCTTTCGAAGAGTCTAGTCAGAGTGAAGATTTAGATGAAGATACCACAAGTAATACAGTCAGGTATTTTATCTTATAAAGAATTAGATCTCTGTTGTATTTCATAATAATGAATTTTCTTAATCGTGTTACAGAATTGATGAAGGAGCAAGCTCGCATGAACAACCTATGTTCATGGTATTTTACATCTCATTGGTTGAGTTGTTTGAAAAATTTTGCTTTAACTGCAAGGCTGAAAATCCAAAGTACACATTAAAACATTGGTTCGATGGCCATTGTAGAGCAAAATTGTGGTAAATGTGTTGAAAAGAACTTTATGTGGAGAAGCCAACCTATGGTTTTAGGAAGATATCCAGCTGGAAACATTATGACTAGTTTTGGTATATTGATGTCTGGTGTCAGTATAAGTCAGGCCATGCTGATGTTCAAGCACATGAATCTCTCAGCAAATAGTGTGTCCACTTATCATGTGCATCAACGCACCTTCTTGTTTCCAGCTATTCTGAAGCATTGGGAAAGCTATCAGTTAAAGTTAATTGAAGATGTGAAAAAAAGTGATGCAGATTTCCAGACATGGTCAGGAGATGGACGCTTTGATTCTATGGGGCACAGTGCGAAATATGGAGTTTACACAATTTGGAGCAACACAACATCAAAGCTGGTTCATTTTGAATTGCTTCAGGTATTATCGAATGATGAAAATCATTGTTTATAGTGTTTTTACTTTCAATGATGGAAGCATTTTATTTTCAAACAGGCCAATGAAGTTGGTAGCAGTAATGCCATGGAACTGGAGGAGCAAAAGATCTTTTCAGTTTCTTGAGAAATCTGGGCTTACCATGGATGTTTTCATCAGTGACAGGCACAAAGGGATTGCAAAGTGGATCCGAAACGAAAAAAAAGAAACAAAGCACTTTAATGATATCTGGCATGTAAATAAAAGTATTGCTAAACAACTTAAGATGGCAGGCAAAGAGAAAGGGTGTGAAATAATCAATGAATGGTTGGGTGGTATTCGCCGACATTTGTATTGGAGTGCTCAAACTACTATACTTGGCTTTGAAGAGCTTATCATTGCTAAATGGAAATCTACTGTGAGACTCATGGCTAACAAGCATGATAACCACCCTGATGCATTATTCCCATCGTGTGCTCATGGTCAGATCCCAGAGCGGAAATGGATACCAATAGGTAACTTAAAATACTCAGCTAATGTGGAAATAGAATAGTACAAGGTTGTATGTCATACTATAGTCACAACTCTATACATGAAACACAATTTCACAACCTTTTAGGAACTATTGCATATGATAAGATATGCTCTATCCTACTCAAGCCAAGCATTTTGAAAGACATCGACAAACTTTCACCAGATGGCCAGACTAGTTGTCTTGAAGGCTTTCATTCCACCTTGAACCATTGGCATCCAAAAATGACTCATTTTTCATGGCTTGGAACATTTTGCAGGTCAGCATTTTAATGCCTTGAAATATATTTTCTCATCTGCTGCGGTATTTTTTTTTATTTTCTTAATTTTTTCTTGATAGACATGTTATTGCCATACTTCATTTCAATGAAAATGTTCATCGTGAGTCGAAAAAATCAAAGGATGGACAAGTGGTGTATAACATAAATTTCCCTAAGTATAAGTTGGGTGAGGAAGTATTGCGGGAAGTGTCTGTGAAGCCATCTTATGGTATGCTAATTTTTAGAATGTTTTGTAGAATATGAGAATTGAAGCATCAGTAAGAAATTATTTTTCATATCAATTTGTAGAATATGTTGAACAAGTAAAGAATGTTCTTTTCATGTCTAATAAACAAGAACTTTCAACTATAATGGAAAGATATAGAGGAAAAGCACCTGAACCTTTGTGCAGCCAGTTTCCCACCAAACGATCCAAGGCTGAGGCAATAAAAAATATGTTGCAAGGAACAAGCATGTCAGTCTTTTATCCGTGCTGTAAGTATGGGATAATGGTATTGTTTACAATTATTTTAGGATGTAATGATCTGCATTTTTTCCTTAGTGGAACAGCAAAGACAGCAGTTACAAGACCTAACAGATGATGCGGATCAAATATTAAATAGCGCTGGGAATAAAAGTACTCGCAAATGTACTAAATGCAAAGCTCCAATGAAAGGACATCCTCGAGGTCAATGCTCCACTGAAAAAGAATAAATTGAAGTTGGTAGATGATAGGGCAGTGGTCAGACATTGCTTGGAGCCTGTCTGGAATGGAGAAGTAAGGCACCTCCTTCCCACCACCAGCCTGAGGGTTCACCTTAGGCAAGTGATAGTACCCTCTAGCCTCCCTATCTGGGCACTGATATACACACCTTTCCTGATGATTACAGTATTAATATAACATTGAATGGTATGTATACTTGTCAGATTGAAGATGACTATCTCACTCGATTGTGCAACTAATTAATTTTATGAATAATTTTTTATTGTAGTTTAATGCTCAACATGCCCTTTGTGGTGCAGTGCACTCAAGTGCGAAGACCTTATAAGATAAGTTCATGTGGCTTGCTATTTTCCATTTTTACATTTATGCTATGATTTAATTCCATATAATTTTTCTTTTTTTTTTCCCAGACTGACATTGAAGAAAAGATTTTCTTTACCATATAGTGCATCCATGTATCTCCAATTTGGTTTTCATCTAGGCATATTTCCTGACCATTCTAAACTCAGCAAAGAAGGCCAACAGTCTCTACAGTGCACAAGTTAAAAGACCTTTCCATCATCGCCCCTCTGATGGTATGTAACCTGTTGTGTTACCACTTGGATATGCTTTCCGAATAAAGTGGTAAACACAAGCAGGTAAAGGCCGAGTATTCTCCCATCCCATAGACCCACAAAACCATCGCATCAACCATCTGTATGCCACAGCTCTCAAGTACCTGAAATAAATAGAAAGGTTGGACTAATTATTGTTGATGAAACAATGTTGATGATAACATTCTTTCTCATACAATTTACAATCTTACATATTTAATGATTGTGATGCTTGGCGGCGATAAGCACGTCCATTCCTATCTCTCAATAGTGGCCCGACGTTTTCAAGGACAGCCTCATGAACTAAAGGCCCAAATTTGGCATGCTGTGTTATGCATGATATTTTCTCAATGCTGCCATCGAATGTCATTTTCTGCAAAGCTGGTCCTATTTCCTTACAGCATCTGTACTCTAATGCGCCTTCTAACAAATCGGTATGACAGCATTGACAATTACACCTGAAACGTGGGAGCATTGTGGTTTATAAAGTAACTTTATGTATATTACAAACAGGAGAAAACAACAACTTACCATTCACCGAGTGGAATTACGCCATCACTTCGTTGTTCTAAGGTCGCAGGAGAATTCCATCGGGATCATCTGGAGTATGCACTTCATCACCATCTCCTGCGAGCGGTTCATCGTCATATGCGAAGTCGTTTAAATGCTCGACATAACCCACGGATTCCGAGCTCGAATCAGATACGCATTCAGACATCGAATTCGAATTATCTGAGCACTGATTTGAGGCCATACTTTCCGGACAACTTGTTTTTTAATATTTTATTGAAAATACTGCCATTATTTGTTTTTAACACAAGAAAAACGACAACAAAATCACCTCCTATAATATAATATTATATTGACGGAAACAGACGTGTTCAACTATCTACGTCACAAGTATCAATATGGCGTCGTAAAAAATTCGCAAAAAGTACCCGACTTTGGAGGCAAAATTAAGGAACTTATATTTATCTGTTTAAGTCCAGCGACATGTCATAGTTCTTCAAATAATCCAAATTTTCAATTAAGCTCATAAAAAAGGGGGGCTAAAATTCGTGATATAACCACTTTAAATGTGTCATTTTCACTTCTGTCAATGCTATGGCAATGATATCCTGCTTTTTCTTCTTCAGGTTATTTAAAACTTTTACTTTACATTGCCTTTATAGTTTGAACTATAATAAAGTATTATTGAATCAATCATTAAATAAATATTTCCTCCAAAGTAAAAAAAAAACAAACATTATCACAACAATTAAGATGTTAGTCCCCAAATCAAGTATGATTGAATCAAATAACAATAACTGCATGTTCATTTCAAACAACTACAATTCTCATAAATAGAAAGTATATTTTGTAAATTTTATGAATGAATAGAAATAAATATAGAAAAGACTGTATTCATACTTATATAGCAAAGCAAATCTTGTGGGCTTTTCAGCATTTCAAAAAGGGATGTTACATGATCATGGTTGCTGTAAGATCAGTATTTACTCTCATTATACAAGAAAATGACCCAACAACATTCATTATAAGGAACTTCACAACTTCTGAATTTCTAGATATTGCAAACTAAACTCATAAATATACTTTAATAGTTCTGTAACGTTGAACCGTATAACGGTCAGATCTGGATCCTCATGTCCCTTGGTATATGCACTTTCGCCAGGAAGTCATACACTTGCACGTATTGTTATTATTATTATATTTAATTATATGAGTTTACATTCAATTCTGCTATCTCTATACATCTCTGGTCTTGTCTTTATATAATAACTAAAGGGAGTGTTCCCCGTCATATCCTGCACGTAATAGTGGGATGACTTAGTTCTTTCTAAGCGCGTTATAGTGCTTTCAGGGCTTGTGTGGTTAGCTTGTAGCGCGTTGTTGTGCTTACTCACATCCTATATCCGTTGACGCACAACAACTATGACTAAGCTTGATTCGTCGCTACACTACCCCCTTCTTAGAGAAAGCATGTCCCATGCGCTGATAAAACTAGTATGTGATATATGTCTCCTAAATCATGCAAAATTCAAACAATTAAAATCATGTTGTCCAGAATATTCAGTTTATGTCTACGTCAAAGTCCGCCATCCATCCGGGAGGTCGAATTTGACGCCGTGGTCGGGACAATGAAGGTTGCCGTTCCTCATGTATGGGTAGTTCGCCCTCACGTATTGGGTTTGTGTACTCGAAGACAGGTGAGTCGTGGGTATACATAAGATCAGTTTCGTCCGGAACGTAACGCTGCTCGTTGACACGATGTTGGTCATCTTCATGAACACTCTGTCCACGCGTTGCTTGAGGGTGACTATTCTCCATAGACTTGATTGTGCAATGTTTCAACCGGTTGTATTGAACAATTTGCTTTCTTCCTTCTCCATTCTCTGCCCCAATCTTGTAATTCACGTCAGAAAGTTTGTCAAGGATGACAAACGGTCCTATCCATGGTGATCGTAACTTGCGTGACTCACCTTGTTTCGTTGTGGAATTGAGAAGCCAAACACGATCGCCGATACCAAAACCATCACCGGTCCCGCGAGCGTCATAATACCGCTTTTGCCGCTTCTGTGCTGTTTTCAGGTGTTCACGAGCTAGATCGTGCGCTGCCACGAGGCTGTCTCTCAACTCCTCGACGTACACGTGCACATCCTTTGATTGGTCAGGAGTGTTTACGAACATCACATCTGCAGGTAAACGGATTTCTCGTCCAAACATTAGCTGGTATGGAGTAAAGCCAGTTGATTCCTGCACACTCGATCGGTAAGCCATCATTACTCGGGGAAGATGTACGTCCCAATCCTTTTGATGTTTTGCTACATATTTGGAAAGCATCGCTTCAAGAGTTCTATTAAAGCGTTCAATCATTCCATCTCCCTCCGGGTGATACGCCGATGTGCGAGTCTTATGGATTCCCAAAAGCTTACAAACTTCTTGGAATAGTGAAGACTCAAAATTCCTACCTTGATCTGCGTGGATGGTATCTGGTGCACCAAAACGGCAGATGAATTCGTTCACCAACTTTTCCGCAACTGTATATGCTTCTTGGTTTGGAATGGCATAACTCTCCGTCCATTTTGACAGGTAGTCGCCAACCACCATGATGTATTTGTTGCCGTTTGTAGACACTGGTAAAGGTCCCAGTATATCGATTGCAATTCGTTCTAAAGGATAACCAGGGGGACAACTTACCAGTGGTGCCCGATTCCCTTTTGTTGCACCCTTACCTACAGCGCACTTTTCACATTTCATCAACCATTCTTCGACATCTTGACGTTGACCAGGCCAGTAAAATCTCTGTCGTACTTTCGAGAGAGTTTTTGTTATGCCCAGGTGACCGGAAGTTGGACTGTCGTGCAGACTTCTTAACACATCGTTCACTAAACAACGAGGTACTACCAACAGGGGCTCCGTCGTTGTGCCATCGTCATTTTCATAACGACGATACAAAACACCGTCACGAATTTCCAAAACGTCCCAATGTGAACACAAATTGTGCACAGCTCGGCTTAATCCTTTTAATTCCTCTTTTCGTGGAGGATCTACCTGGATCTCCTTTTTAGACAACACATAGGAAATCGTAGGGTCAGCTAACTGTAGTGATCGTAACTCAGCGGACGTCCACGTGGGACACCAAGCTTCCTCAGAATTCGTCCGTTTTTCAAGTTCTATATTTCCTACGTTATGAACTTCGATAGACGGGTTGGGCCGTCGTGACAAACTGTCCGCATTTCCATGTCGCTTCCCAGGTCGAGACTGCACCTTAAAGTCAAATTCTGCAAGTTTTTCTAGCCAACGTGCTACTTGCCCGTTTGGTTCTTTAAAGTTCGTTAACCAACGTAAGGCGTCATGATCCGTTCTCGCAATGAAACGCAGTCCGTACAGATAATGCCGAAATTGTTGGGTATAGAAAACTAAAGCCAACATTTCTCGTTTCGTCACTGAATAGTTACGCTCACTCTTACTCAATGTTCTACTAGCGTAAGCAATTACCTTTTCTTCGCCATCTTGTATTTGAGACAGAACAGCACCGATGCCGAAGTCACTCGCGTCGGTGTCAAGAATAAATTCCCCGTCCGATCTTGGATAGCCCAAGACCGGTGCGTTCACTAAACACGTTTTAAGCTCTGCGAATGCACGATCACAGTCAGTAGTACACACAAAGGTTTTCTCGTTACCGACAGTTAATGCATGACGTAATGGAGCTGCAATTGCTGCAAAGTTCTTGATAAACCGGCGATAGTACGATGCTAAACCGAGAAAACTCCGCAGCTCTGTTTTCGCGAGAGGTACCGGCTATTTTGTCACCGCATCTACTTTGCGAGGGTCTGTGGCGACCCCCTCCTTAGAGATGACATGACCCAAAAAAGGCAAGACTCTCCGAAAGAGTTGACATTTCTGCGGTTTAACTTTTAGTCCTGCATCGCGAAGCCTCTCGAGAACCATCTGCAATCGTTCGAGGTGCTCTTCAAATGTCGTACTAAAGATAATAATATCATCCAAGTACACCAGGCATGTTGACCATTGAAGACCTGTTAAGACAGATTCCATCAATCTTTGAAAGGTGCCCGGTGCACCTGTTAATCCAAATGGCATGACACAGAACTCGAACAGCCCTTGAGGTGTTGCAAACGCCGTTTTTTCTTGATCGGACGGTTCCACCTCGACTTGCCAATATCCACTAGCAAGGTCTATAGTTGAAAAGTACTTGGCTCCGCCCAGAGCATCAAGGGTCGAATCAATCCTTGGCAACGGATATGCGTCCTTTCGCGTTACTTCATTAAGGCGACGATAGTCAACACAAAACCTTGTGCTCCCGTCCTTCTTTTTCACCAGCACAACTGGAGAAGCCCAGGGGCTGGAAGAGGGTTGAACTATACCGTCGTTCAGCATCGACGCCAAATTCTTATCCAACTCGTCCTTCTGGTGAATGGGAACTCGCCTTGGGGACTGTTTGATAGGAGATGCATTGCCCGTAGGAATGCGATGTTTTACCCGATTTGTTCTGCCAATGCCCGATAAATCTTTTGACACAACATCCTCGAAGTCATTTAAAAGTTCGTTTACCCGAGATTTCTGTAAACTGCTAATGTCCGTATCGTCCCAGCTGAATAAATGTGACACTGCTGCACGAGATGCTTTTATCGATGGTGCTTTCGATCGCTTATGACGCTTACAGACGGATGTAACTTGACAATCGTTGGTAGTAGACTTTAGAGAGTGGCTCACCTCACATTGAGCAAATGTTCCAAGTGTGCATCCCTTATGTAACACTACTGGCTCCGGAGAAGGGTTGCATAACCTGACAGGTACCTGGTTATCTTTTGGTTGAGTTACTACTCGGGCCACCAAGACTGAGTGCTTACCCAAAAATCTTGGACAGGGCTCTATTAAACCAGTGACAGTATCACTTACCGCCCTAACATTTGCAGACATGATCATTTCATGTCTTCCCGGTATCGTAACCGTTTCCACCAAACTAACCCGACTACGTGTCCAATCTTCCCGCTTACAACCCATGACAACCTCTCTATTCCCAGCCTTAACTACACCAGCCTTAAAATCAATTAAGCAATTGTTTTTACCCAAAAAGTCAACACCGATCAAGCAATCCTGAGTAATGTCATTTGCAACTAAAACATTGTGGTTAGTGCTAATGTCTCCCAAACATAGTTTAACTTCACACGCCCCCAAATTTCCTAATGGTTGACCATTTGCTGAAATGACCTGTTCCTCTACGTCAGACATCTTCTTACCCTTATCAACCTTATCCAATATCCGCTTATGAATGAGAGTTACCGCAGAACCCGTGTCCAAGAGCATGTCTATTTCAACATTACCTACCCACCCAGGGACGTAAAGACTCGCGCCGTCATTGACGCTGTACGAACCTAAAACTTTGAGTATTGACACTCCTGCACCCCCTTCCCAGCTTTTGGAACCTGTTTTATGGGTCTTAGATGAATCATCGGCTGGCACGCGACCCGCGGTGCCAGCCTGGCCTAGTTTTCCTGTTTTTCGTTTGAATCATTGGTAGGGCAATTAGCTTTAATGTGACCTACCCCACCGCATTTCCAGCAAGTTTTCTTACCACCCCTAAACTTATTGCCTGGCCTATGGTTATTTTGGCGAATCTCAGGTTTAGAACGGTCAGTAAGTAGGTTTACGGCCTTTTCAAGTGCTGCAGTCTGCTTGCTGAGCATCTCCAGTATGCGTGAATCGCTAGACCTCTCGACCGCCTGCACCCGAGACGTCTTACTACGAGCAGCACTGTTTTCTGCCTCGTAGATTGCCTCAAGCTGGATCGCGCGACTTAAGCTTTCATCCAGCGTCTTTGGATTGCCTTCCCGCAGCCGAATACGAAGGTCAACATTGTCCAAAGACGCTATAAATCGATCCATAGCCAAACGATCGAGAATGTCTGTCGGTGCGCCTGGAAATGCTCTGCTGGCCATCTTACTTAAGCCTGCTGCAAGCTCACCTAACTTTTCCCCCTGTGCGCGTCGCCTAGCTTGAAACTCAGCTTTATATAATTCTAACCGCTCTGTGGGTGCGAATTTCTTACTGAGGGCTTCAGAAAGTACTTCAAAAGTTCCCGCCTGCGCTTCCTCTGACAAGGAAAAACATGTTTCCTGTGCAGCGCCCCGGAGACGAACGGCCAAGAAATCACGTTTCTCGTCGTTATCCCATTTATTTAATTTTGCGCAATTATTAAAATATTTAAGCCACGAAATCCAGTCTTCTTTTTCAGATGCTGCGAAAGCTTCTGGCATTACAAGTACCCTATGGGGGATGGAATTAGCGACATTGCTGCTACTAGCACCTTCTTCAGTCATGTTTCCGCTTATTTTATTAGCGAGTAACTCTCATTAATTATGCTTAAAAGACACATACGCCCAGACAAAGAACTAACCTAGCAACAGGACCTACAGTGCATATCCAATCCGTTCCTAAAGAATGAACACGAGCCCAGAGTAGCAACTGTCGGTTTATTTAAGCACAAACAGTTCGTCATCCACTGACTCTCTCACTTTAGACTGATTTCAAGGATCCCACCGCTGCCACCAATGTAACGTTGAGCCGTAGAACTGTCAGACTTGGATCCTCATGTCCCTCGGTATATGCACTTTCGCCAGGAAATCATACACTTGCACGTATCGTTATTATTATTATATTTAATTATATGAGTTTACATTCAATCTATACATCTCTGGTCTTGTCTTTATATAATAACTAAAGGGAGTGTTCTCCGTCATATCCTGCACGTAATAGTGGGATGACTTAGTTCTTTCTAAGCGCGTTATAGTGCTTTCATGCTTTGTGGTCGGGCTTGTGTGGTTAGCTTGTAGCGCGTTGTTGTGCTTACTCACATCGTATATCCGTTGACGCACAACAACTATGACTAAGCTTGATTCGTCGCTACAACACCTTAATTGTTGTGACAGTGTTCTTTTTTTGCTAACATTTAAATGTAGTAAATCTCATTTTTAATTTGTATTTAATTTTCTTGGGATCAGAGATAACCACAACATTTTGTATTGTGATTTTGTTGTTAATTCATTTATGTAGCTGGGAGAATCAGTTTCAAAGCAATGTAAAGTATAAACTATAGCAAAAGCAAGACATGAATGTCATAGCAATGAAAATGACTCATTACTGTCCCTATCAGTAGTAAAGACACCAGTAGAAATGACTCGTTTACTGTTCTTATCAGTTGTAAAGACATTACCCAAAAATATCTGGTCATGTCATTCACTCTTGAACATGGATACATAATTTAAAGGAGGGTGTTGTCCTAGAAATATATTCCCAATATAAACTTTTTATAGTTTGCACACAATATCTCTAATGTTCAAATTATGTTTTGGAAAAAAATAAGAAGTTCCTTGCAAAATGAAGTACAAACTGTTACACACAATGGCAGAGCTCTTCAAGATGTCCTGGGAATAAATGGCATAGCAGACTCTTTATTTTGGGTAGGACGCACATATTCATATATTCATGTTCTGCCACATTAAGTTCCTTCGTCATCCATTGTTTTCAACAGATTAAGAAGTGCATATATGAATTTGTGCCCCCCCCCCTCCCCCCCCCCATTAACAAGTGTCCTGCGCCACTGCTGGGATTTTTTATATATTAGTAAATCTGGTAGTCCAAAATCTGGTAGTCTGACACTTAAATGTGTCATTTTTACTTCTGTTAATGCTATGGCAATGATATCCTGCTTTTTCTTCTTCAGGTTATTTATAACTTTTACTTTACATTGCCTTTATAGTTTGAACTATAATAAAGTATTATTGAATCAATCATTAAATAAATATTTCCTCCAAAGTAAAAAAACAAACATTGTCACAACAATTAAGGTGTTAGTCCCCAAATCAAGTATGATTGAATCAAATAACAATAACTGCATGTTCATTTCAAACAACTACAATTCTCATAAATAGAAAGTATATTTTGTAAATTATATGAATGAATAGAAATAAATATAGAAAAGACTGTATTCATACTTATATAGCAAGGCAAATCTTGTGGGCTTTTCAGCATTTCAAAAAGGGATGTTACATGATCATGGTTGCTGTAAGATCAGTATTTACTCTCATTATACAAGAAAATGACCCAACAACATTCATTTTAAGGAACTTCACAACTTCTGAATAGCTAGATATTGTAAACTAAACTCATAAATATACCTTGATAGTTCTATACAAGTTTCTTAATAAAAACTGTTCCAGTAAATAAATGAAAGTTGAAAACTTGAAAATACAAATTTTTGAATATTTTCAATAATATATTTATACCTTTTATAAATATACAACTGTTGTTATTTGAACCTTTGTTAAAAGAAATCTACAATACAACTGTTTCTAATCACCTTTAGTATAAAGAAGACATACCTAAAATGAAAAGAGAAATTGATTTTCTTCTTCATTGAAAATGAGCTACAAATTCATTTCCTCTTCTTCTATCTCCTTGTACGTTTTCTCAAAAACAGGAGTATTTTAGCTTCTAGCAAATAAAAGATAAATAGAAGTCCAAGTGCTTTAGTTTTAATACCTATAGTTTGTTTATAACCAAATGAAGATTACTGTATATTATTGCAATACATGTTCAGGTCCAAATACTTTTTTTTCAATTTCTATCGCTTTAAACTGAAAATACAACTGTATTTTGTCCTTTATCTCGTGAAACGTTTCTCAAATACGAAATACTTTTAGCTGTTTGCAAATAAAAGATAAATATAGAGGTCAAATGCTTCACTTTCAAGTTCTGTCACTCGTTATAAACTTTATTGTGTTGGTTTTTCGCGTTTTTCCTATCACAGTAAATTACAACGTGATTGCTTTCTCATAATATTAACATGGTCATGTCCAAATGTTTTTGTTTCAATTTTCATCGCGCGTTCATAAAAATCTTTTGCTTTTTCGTACTCTCCCATATCTTTGTAAACCGAACCCAGATTCTTGCACGTTGACGCAATCTTAACATGGTCAGGTCCAAATGTTTTTGTTCTAATTTTCATTACTCGTTCATAAAAATCTTTTGCTTTTTCGTACTCTCCCATATCTTTGTAAACCGAACCCAGATTCATGTACGTTGACGCAATATTAACATGGTCAAGTCCAAATGCTTTCGTCTTAATTTCTATCGCTCGTTCATAAAAATCTTTTGCTTTTTCGTTCTCACCCATATTAAAGTAAACCAAACCCAGATTGTTGTACGTTCTCGCAGTATTAACATGGTCAGGTCCAAATGTTTTTGTTTCTATTTTCATCGCGCGTTCATAAAAATCTTTTGCTTTTCCGTACTCTCCCATATCCTTGTAAACAAAACCCAGATGGTTGTACATTGTCGTAATATTAACATGGTCAGGCCCATATGTTTTCGTTTTAATTTCTATCGCTCGTTCACAAATATCTTTTGCTTTTTCGTACTCTTCCATATCTTTGTAAACCAAACCCAGATTGCTGTACATTGCTGCAATATTAACATGGTCAGGTCCAAATGCTTTCGTTTGAATTTTTATCGCTTGTTCATAAAAATCTTTTGCTTTTTTGTACTCTCCCATCTTATGGCAAAACGAACCGAGATTGTTGTACGCTAACACAATATTAACATGGTCAGGTCGAAATGCTTTCGTCTCAATTTCTATCGCTCGTTCATAAAAATCTTTTGCTTTTTCGTTCTCTCCCATATTAAAATAAACCCAACCCAGATTGTTGTACGTTCTCGCAATATTAACATGGTCAGGTCCAAATGCTTTTGTTTGAATTTCTAACGCTCGTTCATAAAAATCTTTTGCTCTTTCGTACTCTCCCATATCATCGTAAACCGAACCCAGATTGTTGTACGTTGAAGCAATATTAACATGGTCAGGTCCAAATGCTTTTGTTTGAATTTCTAACGCTCGTTCATAAAAATCTTTTGCTTTTTCGTACTCTCCCATATCATCGTAAACAAAACCCAGATGGTTGTACATTGTCGTAATATTAACATGGTCAGGCCCATATGTTTTGGTTTTAATTTCTATCGCTCGTTCACAAATATCTTTTGCTTTTTCGTACTCTTCCATATCTTTGTAAACCAAACCCAGATTGCTGTACATTGCTGCAATATTAACATGGTCAGGTCCAAATGCTTTCGTTTGAATTTTTATCGCTTGTTCATAAAAATCTTTTGCTTTTTTGTACTCTCCCATCTTATGGTAAAACGAACCGAGATTGTTGTACGCTAACACAATATTAACATGGTCAGGTCGAAATGCTTTCGTCTCAATTTCTATCGCTCGTTCATAAAAATCTTTTGCTTTTCGTTCTCTCCCATATTAAAATAAACCCAACCCAGATTGTTGTACGTTCTCGCAATATTAACATGGTCAGGTCCAAATGCTTTTGTTTGAATTTCTAACGCTCGTTCATAAAAATCTTTTGCTCTTTCGTACTCTCCCATATCATCGTAAACCGAACCCAGATTGTTGTACGTTGAAGCAATATTAACATGGTCAGGTCCAAATGCTTTTGTTTGAATTTCTAACGCTTGTTCATAAAAATCTTTTGCTTTTTTGTACTCTCCCATCTTATGGTAAACCGAACCCAGATTGTTGTACGTTGACGCAATATTAACATGGTCAGGTCCAAATGCTTTTGTTTGAATTTCTAACGCTCGTTCATAAAAATCTTTTGCTCTTTCGTACTCTCCCATATCATCGTAAACCGAACCCAGATTGTTGTACGTTGAAGCAATATTAACATGGTCAGGTCCAAATGCTTTTGTTTGAATTTCTAACGCTTGTTCATAAAAATCTTTTGCTTTTTTGTACTCTCCCATCTTATGGTAAACCGAACCCAGATGGTTGTACATTGTCGTAATATTAACATGGTCAGGCCCATATGTTTTGGTTTTAATTTCTATCGCTCGTTCACAAATATCTTTTGCTTTTTCGTACTCTTCCATATCTTTGTAAACCAAACCCAGATTGCTGTACATTGCTGCAATATTAACATGGTCATGTCCAAATGCTTTCGTTTGATTTTCTATCGCTCGTTCATAAAAATCTTTTGCTTTTTCGTACTCTCCCATCTTATGGTAAAACGAACCGAGATTGTTGTACGCTAACACAATATTAAAATGGTCAGGTCGAAATGCTTTCGTCTCAATTTCTATCGCTCGTTCATAAAAATCTTTTGCTTTTTCGTTCTCTCCCATATTAAAGTAAACCAAACCCAGTTTGTTGTACGTTGTCGCAATACTAACATGGTCAGGTCCAAATGTTTTTGTTTGAATTTTCCTCGCTCGTTCGAGAAAATCTTTAGCATTTTCATATTCTCCATTGTCCAAAAGCAAGTCACCCAGTTCGTTGTACGAATATGAAACATCAATATGATCAACACCTAACACTTTAGTTTGAATTTCTGTTATTTCATAAAGTACTTCAGTTGCAAGTTTATAGTTGCAAAATCTTTCCAAAACATCTACAAAATATTTGGCAACTTTCCAATTGTTTTCATCAAGTTTTTGTTTTGATGATTTTACATCGATCAATTTATTTAGGAAATGTTGAAATGATGAATTTGTTATGAATTTAATTAGATGTGGAATTATTTTGATTTCATCTTCTCTGTCTTCAAAATGATTTAGTGCCCAAGCAACTAGACAGGCAAGATCAGATGCAGTATTTTTAGAGTTATTTTCGTTTTGTTTACAGCTAAAGCTCTGCAATGAATAATTTACGATGGCTTCGTGTACAACGCTGTGCAGGCGGATGTCGTTGTTTTCCGTTTGAAGGAATAAAGAACAATGCTTTAATTGAAGACAGACATCTTCTGCAGATTTTTGTGGATCAATGCTTTTAATAAATTGTATTATAACATCTTGTGGTAAGGGATCGAAAGATATTATTGAGAAAAGTTTAAAAACATGTTCCAACAAGATGGATTCTTCTGCATTTTTTTGTACTGCTAACATAACAGCTTTCATTCCTAAATAAGCTGAGTTTATTTTTTGAAAATAGCCATTTATGTTCTGTCGCTCTCCTTCATTCAACTTATCAAAATATTGCTCCCAGGTGAATGTCGGATTTACACTTTTTACACTACCTACGTAGGAAGCAGAATTTGCCAGGAACAACGGTTGACGATCTAATTTGTCTGATACATCCTTTAAGAATTTTTCATCTTTATCACGAATATCAGAAAAGACAGATAGAAGTTGTCGACATTCTTCATTGTTCATACCATGAGCAACTGAAATGTGTTTATTTAGATTTCCATCTGGTGGTATAGCATCTGTATTTTGGACAGTTACTATAATTTGACCATTTTTCCAACTATGATCACCAACTTGAGGTAATAATGGATAAATTTTATGAAGTTCAACCACGTTATCTACAACAATCCACCATGTTTGCCAAGATTTCAGTTGTTGTGTCAATAATAATTGAAAATCTTTAATTTTGTCTTCGCTGCTTTTTGCTTCTTTCAGAATATTTTCAATGACAGTTTTATCATTGCTTAATCGTTTAGAAAGGTCTTCATAACTTTTTAAAAGAGAGTCGATATCTTTTCCTTCAAGGGTCATCACAAATGTCGTATTCTTTTCCCAGTTAAACGAGTTATACATTTCTTCACAAACTTGTCTAGCTAATTCAGATTTACCACTTCCAGGATTACCAGAAATATAGTAATATGTTAGTTCATTATTGTTAGTACTGCGCAAGTCATTGAGATCTGCTGTGACTTGATTAAGTAACTTTGTACGTTTAACCACATTGTGATTTGGTTTGCAAGGAAGTTTTTGAAAAGATTTAAATGTGTTTCGTTGACATTTAATTTTATTAATTTCATTAAATGAAAATCCTAGATCTTTAAATGACTTTTCAATATCACAAAGCATTGTTTGAAATTCGTCATCAGCAACGTATCCTTTATTTTCATGGATGAAGTTGTTTCTGATAACACGAAGTTTATCTACAGCAGTCTTAGATTTGGAGTCAAGTTTTGTTCCAACTGAGTTGGAAAACAATATTGCTGCGAACAGTGTTGTACAATCCCACTTACTGGTGTCACCATCTTGAAATTTTGACATAATGTGTTTGTCATGAGGTTTAGGTTTCTTTTTTGTTTTTTCATTATTGAACAACTTCATGCCACTGAGGTTTGTATTTTCCCATTCTCCGTGGTATTTTTTGTAATGAGTGTTCCATTCTTGAATAAAAAGTTCAACAAGTTTCTTTTCAACAACATCTGTAAGTATTTCTTGCAGATACGAGTTATTAATTTTTTCTCTTGACTGCATCTAAAGGTCATAAAATTATTAATGTCAACATAAATTGGTTCTTTAATTTGAATTTATACACATCTAAAATTGTTAAAGATCAAACATAGCTACGTAATGTTACAGTTTTACTTGTACGTGTAAATGAATATCGAGGATGGCAGCTGAAAACAACGCAATTGGAAATTTTAGTTTTCCTGCATTTAGGCATTTGGCTACATTTTGGTAGTTGCGTCGCCAGGATTTTGAGAGTGGAAAGGCACAAAAATTGTTCTAGGTCAGTCACTAGCGAAATGGCGCTAAAAATTGCTTCTGCACTGGGAAAATTTTTCAAATATTTATAACAACATGAATAGTTTCAATTTTTTAACTTCCCAGTTTAACAACATGTTTGTAAATGTAGATCGTCCAGGTTTGTATAGTCCTGAGAAGGACTGTTTTTGTTGTTGTTGACTGACGTTTCGACAACCTTAGCGGTAGTCATCTTTAGAGTCAAATGAGGAGTAAACGTCAAGTTAGCCGTATTTGTTATCTGGTTCTTACGAGGGAATTCAACTCTACTGATGGACACAGGAGCTACAAGCCACATTATTAACGATAAGTCAAAATTTATAGATTTTGAAAGTAAATATGATAGGAAAGCGCATGTTATTGAATTAGCAAATGGCAGTAAAGCCAACGTAGTAGTCGGTAAAGGTACTGCTAAAGTCAAATTAGTTGACTTCTATGGAAATGCGCAGGATGTCTTATTAAGTAATGCCTTATACGTCCCATCTTACGATTAAAATGTATTCTCAGTAAATGCTGCCGTAGAAAAGGAGGCAAACGTCAAATTAGATAAACGCGATAAGCATGTACAGTGCCCTGATGGCAAAACGTTTGGAATAAGACAAAAAGGCAAACTTTACTATATAAATAGCATATCATCTTCAAATAAAAATGCATGTTCTCTTTACGAGTGGCCCAAGGTTCTAGGTCACTGCAACTACAAGGATATTTGGAAACTAAAGAAGGTGGTTAAGAGGATGAAAATCACAGACTTGAGGGAAGTTGAGTGTGAGGTTTGTACGCGAGGTAAAATGTGTCAGACGAAAAGTAAGCTGGAAGATAAAAAGGCGAGAGGTCCTCTTGATTTTATTCACACGGATCTTGCAGGTCCTATTGATCCGGAAGGAAGAGAAGGGTTTAGATATGCATTGTCGTTTTTCGATGATTATTCAGGATTGAATATGGTCTATTTTCTCAAGCATAAAAGCGATACACCACAAGCATTAAAACAGTTTTTAACAGATGTTGCACCTTACGGAAATGTGAAGCGCATAAGAAGTGATAACGGCACTGAATTTTCAAGCGAGAAATTCAAATCGATTCTTAGAGAAAACAAAATTAGGCATGAAACTAGTGCACCCTATTCGCCACAGCAGAACGGCAGAGTTGAGAGATCGTGGTTAACTTTATATAACATGGCTAGGTGTCTATTGCTAGAAGCGGAACTACCAAAGTCCATGTGGACATATGCCGTGATGGCATCTGCTTATATTAGGAATCGTTGTTTTAATTCGAGGTTAAACAAAATTTTGTTCAAAGCGTTTACAGGCTCAAAACCAGACTTGAGCAAAATGCACGTTTTTGGTTGTGTTTGTTGTGGTTATTCACAAAATTCCAAAAAGTTAGACCCTGGACGTAAACAAGGTATTTTCGTAGGGTATGATAAAAATAGTCCAGCATATCTACTATACTACCCTGACATTAACAAGGTAGAGCGTGTAAGATGCGTTAAGTTCTTCAGGGAGGGTAGCAGGGAATTGCCAGAACTAGATGATGAAGAACTTGCACCTCAGATAGCAAAATTGCATGAAAGAAACCCCAAAACAACTAACGAAGACATTAGTACTCCAGAGACATCTAGAGAATCAAGATACCCCACTAGGATAAGAAGTAAGAGTAAATATCTTGACAAGTATGTGACAAAAGAAGTTTCAGGGGAGGATACTGTCTCATATACCGTAGATTATTGCTATATTGTATCCAAAATCCTAACGACCTATTCCCAAGCAATGAACTCCAATGTAAAAGTAAAATGGCAAAAAGCCATGAATGATGAAATGAAAGCGTTAATTGACAATAATATGTTTGAACTTGTTCCACCCCCACCAAACAGAGACATAGGGGGGGGGGGAAATGGGTATACACCGTAAAAGTAGGGCAACATTTTGTAAAATAGTAGCGAGAGACTTGCCGAGCGGAAATCGAATTCGTGTAATAAAAATTAATGCCCAACATAAAGTTTTGATTAGAGCCATAGAAATAGACCAAAAAAATTGTTAAATTGATTTTATTGTAACGTTTCGTCTTTACTCAAGACATCTTCAGACAAATAATAAATAGGATGTTAAGACAAGATATTATATTTACAAAAAGGTGTTAAATTACTACTAAAGGAGGCGGTGTCAAATGGTTTATATGATAAGGAAGTTAGGAAGTAAAATAAAGAGAAATTAAAAGAGGTTAAGTGGAATGGAGTTTCCTTGCACGTTAAGTGAAGGCTTGTATTTATTGATTAGAAGGCTTTCATGAATGGAGAGTTCATAAGAATCGTTAGAAGAGGAGATTATTTTAAAGACGTCTAAGTTGTGGGTGTGTCCAGTTGCGTTAAGCCTTGGTCAAACGAGCGCAACATTTGCATCCAACATCCCCCAACTTTGTTGTGATATAATGTTGGCACCGTTTGACCACTATGAAAAGTAATGTTGGATGATGTTGGATGATGTTGGACAATGTTGGATGAAGTTTGACGCGAGTCAAATTTTCATCCAACATTTTATGCTAATTTTTGATGTTGTAATCGTTTGACCACGTGTGACAACATTTGTTGGCTTTAGGCATGCGTATTTGTCATTGAACTAAATATAACTGGAAGGCTACCTTCTGATATATCGGTAACACACGAAATGAAGCCAAAATTTTGCGTGATCTGACCTCCAGACACGCGTTTCTGGTAGTCAAATCACGCGAGTTCGGCCTCGCGATGCGTGATTGGAAGGAGTGAGTAAAGAGTCTGAACGAATAAACTACATGTTTTGGCCAAGCTTTAGAAAGGAAAATTACTGAATTTATTTAGTTTTGCTGCGTTTTCTTTTGATATTAATACAGGAAATTTCCAACGGGGCATTTCCAATGACTTCTGGTGCCAACTAATAAAAATACTAGTGCCTCAGAAGCCAATTTCTCTGTTTTATGATTAGGGAGTGTATCTCCAAGATTAACAAACCCTGAATACTGGTCATCTTCTGGATTCCATATTGTTTGTTTTCGTATTGACATTGCATCAATAACCAAACAGCAGTCTCTGGAATTTGGGGAAGCAGCAACTTCATTTGATAGTGATTGGAATGCATCTTTAATGAAACCAGGGTCACATTTCATGGACGCAGACCATTTTTTCATCAAAGATGGATTGGGTAGTGGAACAATGGATCGAACATATTTATAAGCTTTTGGAGAATAATATGCCTCTTTTGAATTGATCACCAACTTATCTTTTAAAATCTTGACAACTTCACCCATGGTTTCAACCTTTTGTTTTGTGCGTCTCAGTTGTTGTTGCAAGTTTCGAATTTTTTGTTGAAGCTTATTTTTAAACAAATCTCTTTTTTCTTCTGTAGATGTTTTGGAGATTTTTTTGGGTGGAGAAGTTTCATCAACGGAATCAGAGGTAGCTGCAAAAGGTCTTTTATTTGAAAGCTCGAGTCTATTCAGCAGTGCGTTTGAGTGGGTTGTAGAAGTTGAAACATTTTGAACATGCAAGCTATTGGACATGGATGGTATGGCATACTTTTTTAGTCGGCATTTGCCATTTTGTGAGGGGGGGACAATGTAGTCAGTTAGTTGAAAATGGTCACTGCATATGATGTGCACTTTTGCTGTCCATGGTACTTCAAGATGGTTTACTTGTTGAACAAAATGCTCCCATAATTTTATGGCTGCCTTGTTTTCATGGGAAATCTGTAATACATATAAATATTCATGATCTAGTATTTTAAATATTATACTTCCAGTAATTTCACTACAAATCCTTGTCCAGTTAAATAAAGTTGTAAGCCCTGTACTAACAATATGATACCAGTTATATCTACTTTACACTTTTACTGTGAAAAGTATTATTTTATTGCAATTGTGACCAGCGAAACAAATAAATACTGTATATGACTAAACTGTCAAAATATAGAATTTATATATGTTAGTATTTAACTGAATTTTATTAAAATTTCATTTTGTAGTTGAAGCATGTTTAATCTTTCCAAATTGCAGTTTTGTTTGATGTCATTTTTCAACTTATGTATTGGAATTTTACCTGTGAAAGCAACAGTTTCTGCACCTATGTGGTGAGAAATAGCCCTGTTCCTGCACCCAATTATCACACATGTAAGTGGCATGTTTACTGAACAATCCTGAATACTTATCTTTGTCCTAAAGACGACAATTATGCAGTGAAAATAACTTTTGTTTGCAAAATCAAGGAAATATACGCTCTAACGTTAAAAAAAGGACTGGGGTGAGAAGAAGCTATACTTGTTTTTCTTCGTAAATATTACTTTAAAACATAATTTTGCTAACGTTCTGTTATGTTAATGTCATTATTGGTTTAACGTTTTTTAAGAAATTTTTAAAACAATACCATGCAAATTTGCAAGATGTCAAAATCGCATTTGTCGAGGCTTGTTAAGTTTGTTTTTCAAAAGGGCACGATTGCTTGATTGATCTATTACCGTAATCAAACTTACTATAAATGACCTGGAAAATTTACATTTTTGCAATTTACTTCCAGTTTTTTCATAGTTTTGCAAAATCCGCTGTCAAAATGACTAAAACACTGACATATTTTGTTTTGGTCGTGTTTATCACAAGCGTGGAAAGACTGGGAACGATACTGTCGACTTAGGCTTCAAATTTCCGGGCGAAGGTAGCCTTCCAGTTATATTTAGTTCAATGGTATTTGTTAGTTTAAATTCAAGATGGCCGACGAAACAAATCACGATGTGTTGACAAATGAACAGTTTGAACTGCCTTTGACTGACAATGGCAGCCAAACAGGCCACGTACATGGACGCGATATTGTTATTAGACAAAGTCC